TGGAGATCAAGAATACAGCCTCAGGTATCTGTTCTCAGCTATGTCTTATTTTCTGAGACAAGGTCCCTTGTTGGCCTGAAACTTTATCAAGTAGCCTAGGCTAGCTGGCCATCGAGCTACCAGGGGTTTTCCAGTCTCCAGCTCCCATCTCACCATTGCTGGGATTTCAAGTGTACGCCTCTACACCAAGCCCCCTAGAAGTTATTATCAAGCCATTAGTATTTAATCATGCATTTATGTATGAGTATCCATGTATATTTACAAGGGTTCTTGGGAATCAAACGCAGGTCCTCCTGTTTATAAGACAAACACTTTGCCAATAGAGCCTTCTCTCCAGCCCTGGTATTTTATATTGGCTACCTATTAAAATATTTTGAATATGTTGGATTAAATAAAATATTTCAAAATGAAGGGGGACTGGAGAGATGGATCAGCAGTCAAGAGCACTGAATGGGGCTGGGGAGATGGCTCAGTGGTTGAGAGCACTGGCTGCTCTTCCAGAGGACCTGAGTTCAATACCCAGCAACCACATGGTGGCTCACAACCATCTACAATGAGATCTGGTGCCCTCTTCTGGCCTGCAGGGACACATGCAGGCAGAACACTGTATACATAATAAATAAATAAATAAATAAATAAATAAATAAATAAATAAATAAATAATCTTTAATAAAAGAAATAAAAATAAAAAAATAAAAGCACTAGATGCTCTACTAGAGGACACAGGTTTGATTGCCAGCACCTACATAGTGGCTTGTAATCATCTGTAACTCCAGTTCCAGGAAATCTGATGCCCTCTTCTGGACAAACTTGAGGCAGGAGCATGGTGCACAAACATACATGTACTCGAAACACCAGTACACATAAAATAATATTTTTGTGGGGTTTTTTTTTTTTGTCTTTTGTTTTGAGACAGGGTTTCTCTGTGTCGCCCTGGCTGCCCTGGAACTCACTCTGTAGACCTGCCTTCTGAGTGCTGGGATTAAAGGCATGCACCACAACTGCCCAGCTTATAAAATATTTTTTTAATTAAAGAGTAAAAACTATTATACTCTTTTAACACGGCTTCTGGAACTTGAATTGCCTCCACGGTTCACTTTCTTCCACTGGGCGGTGGAACACAGACAGCAGACCCAGAGCATGGCCCTTAGGTCACAGCATTTCCTTACACAGGAGCTCAAACGACGAAACCCAGACCTGAGTCAAAGTCAGGATGGGGCCCTGCCACTCATGCCGTCCCTGCAAACTGCCCCTGTAGATGTTCCGTCTTAGGGTTTCTATTGCTAGGATAAAACACCGTGACCAAAAGCAACTTGGGGAGAAAGGGGTTTATTTAAGTTTACATCTCATAGTCCATCATCCATGGAAGTCAGGGCAAGAACTCAAATCAGGAACCTGGAGGCAGGAACTGATACAGAGGCCATGGAGGAACACTGCTTACTGGCTTGCTCCTCCATGCTTTGTTCAGCCTGCTTTCTTACACCATCAAGGACCACCCTCCCAGGGGTGGCACCACCCACAATGGGCTATGATCCTCCCACATCAATCATTAATCAAGGAAACTCCCCCACAGGCTTTCCCACATGACAGAGTGGTGGGCACATTTTCTCAGCTGAGTTCCCACTTCTCAAAGGACTCTAGCTAATGTTAAGCTGATATAAAAACTAGTCAAAACATCTCCCAATAGAGTGCCATTTCCCAGCAGGAACCACTGGGGAGATGTAGCAAAGATGGATCTGGAGCCACTGCCTGAGGAAAGACAGGGATGGGGGAGCCACTGCCTGAGGAAAGACAGGAATGAGGAGCCACTGCCTGAAGAAAGACAGGGATGAGGGAGCCACTGAGGAAGGACA